GGGGGGGGGCTGGTCGCGCCGTCCTGGAACCGCGATTTTCGGAGTGGCGAAGACATGTGTCGACGAAGAGCTTCGTTTTTTTGGTGGTCCAAACGTTGTCCGACGTCGTTAGCACGGACATCCCCGCCCTCCAAGTTGACATCTGAGCAGTCCCCCAACGGACTCCAATGGTTACCATTGGCGCTGGGCCTCCGTCAGGTGGCGCCGTCGTTTTCGACCGTCGTCATACGGTCTCCCGCGCTCAGGGAACATCCGCAATGGTTGGAAAATTCAATTTTTTTCCTGGTGGTACCTGCTGATCGTCAACAGAAGCTGCTTATGCACTGACAGCGTATTCCCTTGCCTGTCGTCACGTGCTCGGCAACTGACAAGAGTCTTGCCTTCGCTGCCCTCTCCACCGTCGTTTGCTGAACGTCCGACAACAGACGTGGCATTGCTGTCATCATGGCCGACCTCTACCGCAGGATCCCTCTGCTGCTTCTCCTTGCTGTGCTGCCTCTGGAGGTCCTCTTGTTCCACGTGCGTTTCTTGGGGGGCCTGCCTGGAGCCAGAGTTGTCACCCGTGTAGCCCGGGGACCCAAGCCGGGGTAGGGGTTTCACCCCGCACCCCCCTCTCCGCCACCCCCGCACCCCCGCCCCCTGTACCTCCAAACCTGCCCCTGCATTCTGAAGACTTTGGGGCAGCATGCAATCACTCACAAACCTCGCCCCTGGACCTCCAATCCCTATCCCACACACAATCACCTGCAAACCAGCCACCCACCACTAATCCACTACCGAACCAGTACAGACCCCTCTCCCCCCAACAATCCCACTCCTTCCGCCAACCCCCCCCCTTCCCCCAAGCGACAGTCTCCATACCACCACTATCTCCAACTACCCCAGGGCCTCCTCTTCCCCTGTCACCCCACATCCTCCTTTCATTACCCAATACACCAAGCCTATCTAAGCCCCCCTAACCCAGCCACCCCCCAAACCTCAGCACGTGCCCTACCAAGAATACCTTCACCGAAATCCAAACAGACCCCTCTTCAAGCGATACCTAGAATTCAGACCAGCCCCAGCAACCACATCAGGCTACCATATGGAAACAACCGCCAGAGACAGGCTACAGACAAAGAAGCATTAAGCTAGGGTTTAGGGTTTTAGCACCAAATACAGGATAAGACCAGATTCCCAGTAGAACAAGCTAACTTAGGCAGGGGTGAAGGGTGGTATATCCTTCCTTCGGGAAGTAATCAATGCCGTCCTTCGGACCTCCACACCCCAAGGGGGAGGACCGTGAGTGAGTATTCATTGTAATCCTTACGGACTTGCCAGTGGAATAGGAACTGGATTGATGCTTCCCAGAATGGATAAGGAGTCGGAACCATAAGGTTCCGGTTTTTTTTTTTCTAAGAAAAAAAGAAGAAAAAAAAAAGGGAAAAAAAAAGGAAAAAAAAAAGAAAAGGGAAAGAACTGAGGGCATACTCAGACTAGCACATTCCAAATGCATCTGACTGCAATTACATACAGTCAGACCCAGATCATTCAAACTGCAATCCCACATTATTCCGGATGAATCAAACTGCAATCACGTCCCGAGCTCTGTAGAGAAAGTCCTAGTGTGAGTATGGCCAGACTGTGTCGAGGAGTAGATTGGCAGGAAGCAAGGCACCTGGTCCATTTCCTGGACACTGTAGGGGCATACTCACAGTGATGGTTGAGGAAGGCCCACTGAACTGGGATGGTTGAGGGGGGATGGCGAGAATGATGGTGCAGTGTATGGTTCAAAATTGTGCTTAAACCACCAGTGCCTTTCCCCGATTGAAAAACAGATACGTGGCGGCATGCCACCGCATCTTTCCGGGCTT